GCTGTGCACATTCTAAACTAACACGAGTCTCATTAAGTGTCCAGTTTAAGGGTATTACACAGAAACATACCAAGGGAACATGAATCAAATATGTATTTTTATTCATTTACAATAAATTCATAAAGTACATCATTCTTGATTGAAGCTAATGGCATACAAAACTGTCTAACAGTGAGATAAGCAAGTTTTGCAATCAAAATCTTCTCACCACATTCATCTTTCATTTCATTTTGTTTTTGCTTCAATAGGTTCTCTTCCAAATGTTCAGGTTCTTACCCAAATGCCTCAGTCTGTCAGTCATTCCAGTTTCTCACTTCTTTGTTCAGAGTTACATCCGTTTGAGACTGAATAAACAACAAAGAATTGAATATCCCAATCTTTGAGTTTCAAAGCTTGAACTAGGTTTGGAACAATTGCAAAGACTTGATTGGAATTTCATCTCTTGAGATCATATCCTTTGCTATCCAAACAAATTGAATGGGATATCTTGACACCTTCAATTACTTAGCTTCTACATGTATCAGTCCAAGGTTTGATGACTTTCTTTTTCACTAACTCTTTTGCTGGTTGGTTTTAAAGCCATTCAGTCAAGTTTTGACATGTGAAGATGGAGATTTGAAGCCATTTGGTAAACTTTGCTAAATATATGGATCAGCACAACGATATGTGCTATTTGGTATGTTTAGCAGAGGTTTTTTAGGTTGCTTTTATGTTTATTTTTCCCTTTTTTATGAGCATTGTTTTGCTTGGTTAGAGATGGGGATGGGAAGATGAGGGACTGAATGGTGAGTTGTTTTGTTTTTAATTGCTATATCGAAATGTAGGTTTTATATAATTTTTTTTATTTGATTCCCTATGTGTGGGCCAATTAGATCCTTTTTTTCTCTATTTTTTGTAATGAAGCATAGTGAGGACATGAGTTTATGCATCATATCCCTCGATGCAAACGGATTAGATTCGATTTGAAATTGGGGTATATCTGAATCCAGTCCAATAGAAATAAAATTATAAATTGATAATTAATAAAAAATAAAATCAATTTAAGTATAATAAAGATTTATATAAATTTATGTAATAATAATAATAATAATAAATCAATTAGTAACATCAATAAATCTATATTTACTAAAAATAATAAAATTACAAAACTATGTAAGTTTCATTTAAAAATAATATAAATTAAGAAAAAATAATAAAATAAAAAAGCTTAATTTCAAAGTTAATTTTAATCAATTTATCATTCACTTAAATTACATTTTTCTTGCCTATAAGGGCAACTTTTGGGGGTTAATATTAGGGATGCAAATGGATAGGATCGGATTCGAATCAAGGTATATTCAAATCCGATCTGATTCAAAGATCCAATCGGATCTGTAGGACTCAATTTGAATTTGGATCCTATTAGTAAGTTGGATCTTTGGATCTGATCTAATCTGACTTGTATTCTTTAAAAATTAATAAATTATTATAAAAAAAATAAAATATAATAATTTAAATAAAGTAAAAACAAAAAATAATAGCAAAAAGGGGCACTACTTCAAGTTGTCCATGTACAGTATGGACTACTGTAGCTATATACATTTATTATTCAAAAAATGTCCCTATAAATACAACCAATGTTTCTAACTTTCTAATACTTTTTCTTTCACTTTGCTCTTTTGAACATGAACTTCAAAGTTTATTGTAGTTTTCATGGAACCGAGGCTAGAGAACAAAGTTTTCTCCATAAAAATCATTCTATTTCTCCTCTTTTTATCTGTTTTTATATGTTTTTGTGAACTTATTTTCTATTCTCTTAGATTTTTATCTCCCTTCTCCTTAGCCTTCATGTTAGTGCAGCCATTTAACTTTCTTTATCTCTTTTGTGTTGGACAAAGGGAGCGAGTGCTACCTTCCGCCACCAATAACATGCAGCTAAGAAAACATGGAGAAGGAGATTCCAAGGGAAGGAGGCCATCGTCATCATGTCATTTCTTCCTGGACATATGTTCATGGATTTTTAATTTTGATCCTTTTTTTTTCAAATAAAATTTTGAGTTTAATTACATATACCAAAGAAGTAGAAATTCCCCCCTTTTCCTACTATCTGGATAAATCAAGGGGGAATTCATCGAAACTTCATTTGGTTTGTGGAAAAGAATGTATATGTGTTAGGGGCTGTTTGCCATGTATCGACTGCCCAACATTATAAAGACAGTTCAAGTAAGAGAAGTTGTTAATGAATTTCTTTTCAAATTTTCTTTTCTTTTTTTCTCTTTTCTAGTATTAAATTATTCATGATTTAATATTGGCAATAACATATATGTGTTATATATGTTTTAGGGGGTTGTTTTTCATCTTTCATTTCAAGTTGGAGCAAAGGTTTCATTTTACCTTATTTATTTATTTTTTAATTTCTCTTTTAGAATTATAGTAGCCATCTACTGTTGTTGCTTCTGGTCTCCTAGACTCCTATACCATGAATATAGTTGTTGCTATTATGCATGCTTAGAGCAATCCTAATAAATAAATTTGTTATTTTATCTCTATTTATTGATCTATAGAAGAAGACTCCAAATTCTGGTTATTAGAGTGGAAAATCTGAATCTATTTGGTCTTAAGTTGGGTTGGGATAAATTAATATGGTCATGGGTTTTATAAAAATCCCAAATATCTCTCAAGATGCAATATTTGATTGCAAATAAATAAAGGAAAAAATGATTTCCTAGTGTTTCACTTAGGAAATGAATTTGAACAGAGATGACCGACCTTTTTCTTGAGAATTAGGGATGGACCATGCTTTTTCTGTGTGTATGCGTTTTGATTCCGCGCTTGTTGATTGATACTGCTGCTATTTTACATGAAAAACTATAAAATTATGATTTTTTTAGAAATGGTTCATTTTCCTTCATTTTAATTGCAACCAAACAAAGACTCAATTTCATTGCCTCTTTGAAGAAAGACATTGCTTGGGTTACTAATATGATAGAGCCCATGTAAAGCACGACTCTCATATCAATTCTCATCTACCCCAACAACATGGGATTACAAGTTCATAGAGTTATCATTATCTTGTTGGAACTTACTTTTGTTTTGAATTTGTGTTGTGATTCATCTTCGTTTGGAAGGAAGCCCATGTCAAGCTACCTCTCTTTGCATTACTTACCTTCTACTATTTCAAAATAAAAACAGCTACCATTTCCTCCCTTCACTTAACCAATTTTCTTGTCCCAATTGAGGCCTTTTTCCCCTTTCCCCTTTTAACTTTTGGGAGGAAAATATAAAGGCTTCCTAGAGGTCTCCACTAATAATCTAAAAATTAGTTCTACTAGATGACACAAAGTTGTGAATTGGAGCATGTGATTTAATGATAGAAGAATTAGATCCCATTTTAAGTTTTAGTTTCTATACTTCTATAAATATATGCCGAATTTACAGGCTTGTTAATGAGCATGATGCCACCCATTTAAATTGTTGGTTCCTACCTTACTTACAGGAAATGAATTAGCTAAGCCGTTAGCTAATCTGAGTATTCATGTAAATGAGTAGTTGAAGTGTTTGGATAAAGCCTTAGGATACTGGGAAATATGGCTCATAGGTTAGGTTCATTTTGTGGGTGTGCTTAACCTGAACTTAAGTATGCTTCGCCTAGCTTCAAACAATTTAACCTATGAAGGACTAAAATATACAAGGCCATAAACTTTACGTTAAGTTCAAACATTAGTTGGGTGGATTATTGTATTCTAGGCAGAGTGAAAGCTACATGCACTCTCCTAAACTTAACCCCTACATCTCAGTTTTTGAAAACCAAAAAAACGTTATTGAACCATATGTGGCCAAATTAGGTTAAAGTTAATCAGTTGACCATTAGTGTCAAAATATACATCAATAAGGATTAATAACCCGAATACGAAGAGTGGAATGGTCACTTGACCCCTATATCTTGTAATCTAGGGTTGACAAAATTTTTTTTCTTTCAGTTTTTGAAAACGAAGAAAAATTATTGAACCCACAGGTGTCCAAATATACATTATAATGGTTAGTAACCCAATAACAAAGTCAGAAATGGGTTTAATTATGAAATGATAAAAATTTCTTTATTGCAAAATGATTTTTATCTATGACAAACACAAATCCCGAGAACGAAATATACCTTTTTAACAATGATCAACTTTGGGTGCAAACATGTCTTGAAATCTGTATTTGCTGTCATTTTGAAAACATAAATGCATTCTTACCAAACACTAGCAAAACTGAACCAGAGTGCAAATATGCACTGAACAGGCATTTGCACTCTTTGCAAACTGAGCTAAGGCTGTGTTTGATTGCAATACAATTTTATTTGCACTGGTACAATGTATGGGAGTGCAAATGAAAGTAATGCAAATTTTGGTTTAATTTTACTTTGGGTTTTACTTCATTATGCTTCAGATCTTATTTTACTTTATTTGWACTACAATCAAAGAAAATAAGGTACATTTTGAAACAAAAATAAATCAGAAATTTCACTACCATAGTATTTCATCAATACAAATTTATCTGCACTGCAACCAAACACAGCCAGGAAAACTACCCATGTCCTAACACAATCTTTATTTTTTCATTTCTCCTCAGTAAGTCACTGCAAAGAGTGTTAGCTATATGTGTTTAAATAGATAAACATGATCTTTTTAAATAGAATCACTGAACAGTTCCTCCATGGGAGGCCCTACTTTGTGCATCTTCCTCTAATTTCTCACTGTAATAAAAAAAAGAAAAAAAAACACTGAAGCATCTCTCTTTCTCTCTCTTTCAGATCTCTCTCAAGACATAGACTCGTCAGTTATCTCATTGATGTTAGTTTGTTTTGGCTTCAGCTTAGAATCATCAATATAATGCTGATACAAATAAGAAGCAAATCCCCAGATTGCCAACAACATGGCCACCACCTTCACCCCATCCATCTTGTCATGGAAAACTATCACAGCAGCAACGGGAACAAGAGGCAAAGCCAAGGTACTAATTACATTGGAAAAGAGAGAAGACACCACAAAAATCAAACCCACAACCCCAACAGAGCAAATCTGCCAAGAGACAGCTGTCCAAACCAAAGTCATCACATAAGATACTTTCCCCTTGCCAAATTGGTCCATTTCTTCCTTCAAGCCTTTCCATTCACCACTGGCAAAAAGGCCCACAATGCAAGCAAAAGTTGCAACTAGGGATGTAAATATTTGCATTTGCAAGACTATAGAAAAAGTTTCCTTTTTCAGAACCTTCTTGAAGGAAAGCTGCATGAGGGAAAGTATTAGGGAGTAAGAGGCAGATGCACCAAGTGTGCATAGAAAACCGAGCACATATTTTCCTTTAGAGACTCCTTCAGGTTCTGAAGAATCAGAGCCAAATGCAATGAGGGAGGCAGATAAGGTGAGGAGAACTACAGAATTAAATATTAAAGCAGTGAATTTTTGGGAATTGATGAAGAAGGAGAAGACTGCATTGAAAGCTAATTGGCTTGCACAGATGAGGGAATAAGTTGAGGCAGAAAGGTACAAGAGCCCAACTGAGTACAACATGTTGTCACCAACTATAAGTATGCCAAGGAACAAATAGACCACAACAACAGTAACAATAGAAGGCTGTGCAGAGTTGGTAGAAGTTGTGGAAGGATTTTGGGAGGATGAAAAGAGAAACACTGGGAGGAGGAGGATTGGAAATGCTGCAGTTTGGACAAGTGTGGCCATCCATGTACTATTTCCACCTTGGTCATAGTAGAACCTTCCCAGAAGAACGGCAACAGATTGGCCGATCAGAAGAAAGGCAGTGTTTAGTGCCACTAAGAGCCACCAACGCCAGTTCTTTGGTTTGAGGGGTGGTTGATTGATAGAAATTCCATCTTTAGGCAGTCCCAGTTCTTGGTTCTCTGTAGTAGAAACCGTACAGAACAAGAAGAAATTAGTTTATGTATAAAGAGGTGTTCCTTTAATAAGATCAATGCAAATTTCTTAAGGATAACAGATGTTATGTCTAACCAAATAGTGAATGACTCTAATGGTTTCAAATTACGATCTGGTTGACCATTTCTTACTTGGGTACTTGGTATTTGGCTTTCGCGAACCTGCACTTGACCTAGACCATTGGATCCCTTCTTCCCCATGTATCCATTTTTGTTAGTTTCATTATAAAATAGATAAAAAATTTTTATGTGAAGTATTTCAGCTTTGTTCTACACCTTTTACAGTATAAACCAAGTTTTCACCCATATGACATTGAAACAACTGCAACCTATAAAAGAAGATTTTAGCAATATAAACTACACAAGTTCCAAAATGGTTCACAGAGGGGAGAAAGAACACAACATACTGAAGCATGGTTGTGTGTCATTGAACCTTCTTGGCAGACGACGCTTCATTGACCGAAGCTGACGAGATGTTCAGGTTTGGAGGACTATTTTGTGAATGCTTCTATCAAAGCAGATGAGAGAGAAAAGAAGTCGGTTAGAGGTAGAGGAAGAGGGGGTAGGGGTAAGGCGCCAGCTTGACCTGCAGCCTAGTCTTCGGGGCTTCGAGGAGTTTTTTGAGGTTGTTTTTGCTTTGTGGCTTTCTGGGTGTTTTGGTTTTGGTTGGGAAGTGGTCAGTTGTGTGACTTCCGTCTGTTTTTTCGGGCTTTCTGAGATTTTCGGGTTTTTAGGCTCGGTTTGTACTATTCTCTCCCTAAGTTATAATAGGAGAATTTTCAAAAATACAAATTAATAAAATTGAAATAAAGCAGTAACCCAATTGCTTACATTATTTATAGGGAATGGATAAAACCAAGAAACCTTTTGCTCTTCAATTGGTGGAAGGTCGGGACTTGTTCTAAGAATTGTCTGGGAAAAGCAATTTAACATACTGTGTCTATAATCATTCCTTCCAGAATAGATTAAAAAATATAAAATGTTCCTTTGCTTTTTTTTTTCACTTTCAAATTTCAAAGTGAGTGAGTAATAACAAATATTTATCAAACCTATTAGCATATATGAATAAGTGAGTAGTAACTAGTAACAAGCCTTGTCGAAACAATCAAGGAACCAGTTTTGCTATATTTGGAATTTGTGGGTCTGTGGCTTTTGAACAAACAGGAGACACACTGTTTGGTACTGATGGAAACAAATTAAAAGCTTGCTCATCTTTTCTGGTTTGGTTGTCAGAACAAATAGGCAGGTCTGTGACTTCATCTTTTATCTCTACCAATTCAGTCCAATCCAGTCCATTCTTCTGGAATTTAAGAGTACTGGACAAAAACCCAAAAAAAAAGATATTCACACCTTTATATGAAATTCAGAGGAAACCCCGAAGGGTTGTTGCTACCCCTTCTTTGATGATCGAAGGATTAGAAAACTGTATTAGGGTTATAGACTTTCTGAAAAATCGATAGTAAGTAATATTCGGTCAGAGAGAGAGAGAGAGACCTGATATATTGAGTTGCGCTAATCGAACCTCCGCCATGGTCGTCATCATGGAGAAAAGAACTGGGCGTCTGGACGAGATTGAGTAACTGGAGCTTGCAATAGCGGGAGGAGTTGGCGTCGGGTGTTTAAATATGGAAAGATGAGCAAGCCAAGCCGTTAGACTTAGAATTGAAGTTTGTTGCGAAATCTTGTCACTGAACCTTGCCAACTGTACAACTGGGCCCCACAGTTAGTTAAACTGGCTTGTATCGTATGAATATGATATCATCCATGGTTCCATGGCCATCCCATTAGCCCTCCAACACTGGGATTTTAATCCGACGCTTCTCATTATCTTAATTGCTTTTTGTTCTTGATGTATCACAATCTCGATCTCTTGAGTCTTGCTTGCTTGCTATGTATGAAGTACAAACTTATAAACCATTATAGACGAAAGTCAATTACGGAGCGGTGCCTCTGGGTGTGTGGATTGTGTGAAGTCTCACCATCGATGGCATGCATCACAACGAGGTTGAAACTTGAAAAAAGAAGGGAATACACATGTTCTTCTTCTTGTGACCAAAACGCCGTTGGATATGTTTATTTTCACCCTAACCCGATCCTCCAATTCTTCCATCGAGTCAAATCCGACCCAAAATCAAGTTCAAAGTATTGATACGCCCCTGTATCAGTGGAGGCATATTGGTATTAAAAAATAGAGAGGTCCCAAAACACCTGTAAACAGGTGTATTAGGACCCCAAAGATATGATACGATACGCCCAAATCGTATCGAAATTTTGAGCCTTTCCTAAAATAACGTATGGTTTCTGAAACTGCTGATCAGATGATCTTATAGGTAGGTTCAATCCCATGCGATCTATTGCATTTTTTATATTACACACTAGTAAATGTACACATACATTGCATATGGAAATTTTAAATTATAATAACAATTATTATTATTATTATTATTATTATGAAATTTTGTATTCCATTTACCTCATAAATAAAAATAATTTTTAATATTAGAAATGTTTTCCACAAAATTATGTACTTTTTCATTTTTGTGTTCTATCTTTTTTAAAATATTTATTATTCAATTATGACATTATAAGTTTATTTGGAAAATTAGATCATTGACCCACCATCTAGATAGGAAGATAGCTTTGCTTTCACTTCAATTTTAAATTATAAATTTCATCTACATCATATAAATAATTTTTACTTATCACACTTAATTTTTGTTTGACATAATTAATTAATATATAATATTAGAGATGAGTCCAAACTTTTTATAATTTTTATATTCTTTTGATTATTTATAAATTTTTATTTCTAAAGATTTATTACTTAATTATCACATCATTAGTTAATCCATTTGACCCAATTAATCCACTAACCCACCATTGAAAATAGCTTTATTTCTAGGTTGGCTTCAAATTTTGTATAACATTTCCATCATTGGTAAAATTAATTATTATGTATAATACTTATTTTTGTTCAATATAATGAATGTATAATATTAGAGATGTATCCAATATTTTATTTTTTATAAATATATAACATTAGATATCTGCCCAAAAATTTCTCTATTTTTTTTTTATTTTTTGTGATTCTTTGTATTTCTAATTTAAAAATTTTATTATTTGACAATGACATCGTTTCATTTCTAAGTTGATTTTGGATTTAACATGCCATTTTCATCATTAATAAAAACACTTCTTACATTTCATACTCATTTTTGTTTAGTATAATGAGTATACAATATTAAAGATATAGTCAATTCTTTTTATTTTTCTGTATTTTATACTTTATTTATTTTAATTTTTTATTATTTAATTATGGCACTATTGATTAATCCATTTGACCCCAAAATGGTTAAATTGTTTATCCACCATGAGGAGGGAAGGAAATGGTTTTATTTTGAAATTACTTTTCAAAATATCAATTTTTATATTGGTTTTAATTAGTAGAATTTACTGATGAAAAAAATATATCTTAAATATAGGATTTAATGAGAGAATATACCTTAGATATGAGATTCAATGAAAGAGAAAAGGAAAATAGTTTTATTTCCAATTAGTTTTAAATTTTATATTCCATTTCCAATTTCCATCATCAATAAACATATTTCTTATTTATTGTTTAATATGCCAAATATATAATGTTAAGAATGTTCCCAAAATTTTCTTTAATTTCTATATTTTTTTTGCATTTTATCTATTTTTGAATTTTTATTATTTAATTGTGGAAAAATGGGTTGGCCCATTTGACTCGAAATGATTTAACTTCTTACCACCACCTAGATGGAAACATTGTTTTTCCATATAGACTTTAAGAGATACGCTTTTATGTTATTGGAATTATTAATTTATTATGTATGGATTTAATTAGTGGAATTTAGTATGAGAAAAACAAAAATGCCTTAAATATATATTCTAATGAGGATGATGGGAGTTAATACCTTAAATGTGGGATTTAATGAGAGGGAATTGAATGCATCGAATAGTAGAATTCAAATTGCATTTTCTACCCTCACAATAAAGAGGGACCATATTTCAAAAAAGAAGGTATTTTAGTCAAGAAAATTTCTAGAAATTTTAGAGGCTATTTGTACTTGTATAGTAATATAGATTTTAAAAAGTCAAGGATCATTAATTTAAATTGGAATTTGATTTATAAATTTTAAGTATTACTTCCTCTATAGAGTATAGACACAAACCAAGAATAAATATAAAAGTATATCTAAACTTTTTAAAAGTTTATGAAGTTATAAGTAGACTTGTTTAATGGTTGGAATTTATCACATTATTAATAGAAAATGTCTAAGCCTCGAGCCTAGCCCTAATATAAAGTTCAAAGCCCAAGCCCAAAGCCTAGTATATACTATTAATATCTTAGTTTTATCTTTTAATTCCATTTTTCTACTTGTTCTTATCTTTTTTATTTTTTGAAAAGATCCCACAGATAAAATCACTCCTTCCCAAAATACAATTATACACCTAAGTAAACAAAAAAAAATCACACACAAAATATAAGTTATTACTTAATATTTATTGATAATAATTTATACTATTTATAATAATATTAGGCTAGACTTGGTCCCAAGCTAGGTTCTTTAAAAATAGGATATTATCTAAAACTCACCATGGCTTTTTTCACATTTCTCTTAAACTCACAATGACTTTTCAAAACATCTAGAGGGCCCCTTGTCAGTGAGTTTTAATACCCAAAACTCACCTTTCGTTAAATTTTTTGTTAAATAATTGTTAATGATCACTAATGGAAATTGTCCACATAATCATTTAATATTTTACATGATCAAACTATCCCTGAATGACCAACTGACCTTATTACATTTTTATAACAAAATTATCCTAATGCCAATATATAATAATTAATTATAAATATATATTCCTTTGTTTCATCGGGATTGGAAGGGTTAAATTTAGGTTGGGCCAGTCTTGGTTTGGACATTTGTAAACTGACCAAAACCAAACCGATCAAACCATATATATTAACATTTTATATTTTAAATATAATATTTTTAATATAGGAGAGTGGAAAAGTTCCCATATTTCTTAGTCTAAAATATTTTATATTATAAATTTAATTTTTTAATTTACTTTTAATAATACCAGTATAACTTTTTAAAGTTTAAATCTTTTAAACTGTCGACCAAACCGAAAATTGACTCAAACCGATACAACTCAAGTTGGTTAGTTTTCACTAATGGTCGATCAGTTTCAGGTGACCAACTTCCCGACTCGAGAAATCCCCCACTCCTAGGGTGCTCATGGTTTGGTTAACCAAACCATGGGGCATATTTTGTAACCGAACCAGTAGTACCGGTTTTTGGAAAACCGGTAACCGAAACCAAACCGAAACCTATCAGTTAACCAGTTGACCGGTTCGGTTAACCGTAGGTTTGGTTTGTCGTTTTTCTATTTTTTAATTTTTACAATATATATTATAAAAATATATAATAAAAAATTATAAATATATATAAAATATTATATTTTAAATAATAAATAATCTATCATATATTATAAATATATATATATATATATATATTTATATATAATGCATATTTATTAATTTATAATATATACAAAATATATAAAATATATAGAAATATATGTATACCGGTCGGTTCAGTTAACCACCGATTTTCTGTATTGGTTAACCGAAAACGAACTGGTACCTTCGGTTTTTCAAAAACACYGACCGATAGGTTCAGTTTCGGTTGGTTTTTTTGAATGGTAATTTTTTTTTCTCACCCCTACCCACTCCTGTTTGTATTCTAGGTATTTTAATTTAAGGAAAATTTCAAATTAGTACCCTTTACTTTTGGGGTAGTCTGAGTTTAGTATCTAACTGTAGTACTCAAACTTCCAAAAACTGCTAGTATAGTCCAAAATCATCAACTAACATTAAGTGGCATATAAAAAAATAGAATTTTCCTTAAAATGTCATTTAATTTTCTTTATCTACCACTTCCACATAAACCAACTCTCTCGAGGTGTGTCTACTCGAAGCAATGCCTTTTATGGTCCTTCCTAGATGTTTTACATATGGAAATTATAGCAGTGCAGGATTGTAGTACCTATTTGTGCTGCCATGCAGCATCAGCTGTGGTCTGTCCACAGTTCCGCCCTCTACTTCACCTATCTTTGTCCAAGCCCCCAAAGAGAAGGGATTTTCCAGCTTTGCCATTGATTTCTTAACGGGAGGTGTTTATGTTATTGTATGCGAAAACATTTGATGCTCTCATTGAGCGTGTGAAGCTTTTGATCCATAACCTGAATAAAATGATCAAGGCTTTCTGAACACTATAAGGTATTACAGATTGTTTCAAAAGTTTTAAGTCGTACATGTGATACGTATAACTGATAGTTAGTGAAGGAAATGTAGATGCTTAATTAGCACGTTTTAAAATTTAGGGGCCAAAATGAAACTAACCCTCAAAAATAGGTACTAATCTGCATTTTCCAAAAAAGAAAAGAATCGGCCAGAAATCGAGGAATCACCGAAAATTGTGATCCCTCCTTTGGGCCTGATTTCAGGGGTCGTTTTTTCAACGATTTTTCAAGAATCAAGAAGATCGGCTACCAAACAAAAAATTAATCGGCGTCCTGAGGAATCGCCGACGTGAAGGGAGAAACAAAAAGGTCTTTCGACTTCTGACTTCTGCTGAGTACGAATGCGAAGGGAGAAACAAAGAACTAATAATGAAATCGTTTAATGTTTAACTAGTTATATTATTACTGACTATTGATTGGATTCTCACCGGCGACGTTAGAAATCCAACGCCTAATCAATATCAATTATCCAGGGATGCCGGAAGGCCCGAAACCCACGTCCTCAGTGAACGGCCGGGAAGTTTGGAAAATAAATTCCCACCATTAGCAAAATAAATTACTACGCCTCTTTCCCTCCCTTCCAGTGCCTATATAAAGTCATGGCCTTCGACGGGTTGAAACAAGCTTTAGCAGAAACCCATCTCTGATTTCTTTCTCTCTGGTTTGATTTAGCGGAAATCATGGCTCTCAACAAGATGGCAGTGGTTTTAGCGGTTTCATGGCTCATGGTCATTGGAATTTCCACGGCGGGAGCGAGACAACTGCCGTTTCAGCCCGGGTACAACCTCGCTGCACGACTCGAGGTTGGAGAAGGCGGCATAGTGGATTGTTTGACTGCACTCCTTGAGCTGCGATCATGCAGCAACGAAATAATCCTCTTCTTCTTGAACGGTGAAGCTTATCTCGGCCTTGATTGCTGTCGATCCATCCGCATCATCACTCGACAGTGCTGGCCTTCCATGCTTACTTCACTCGGTTTTACTGCCGAGGAGGGCGACATACTCCGAGACTACTGCGACGCAATCGCTCCTCCTCCAACTCCACAAGTGGTGTCGCCGGTGCAGTCTCCATCTGGCCTGGTTCTGACCGGTGTGGAGGTTATGGGTTAGGCCAGAAGACACGTAGAGCTACGTTCTAGGGAGGAATGTTCGGGTTCTAAGTTCTTTTGCTGTTGTCATTAGTCTTGTTCTGTTTTCTCAGTGTTGGTTTCTGGTTTTGAGTGATGTTGGTTCTGATCGAGTTCTATAATTACAAAATCACTGTTTTTCTTTTCTCGTTCTTAATCCGATAAGCAATATTTGAATGCGATCAACCATGAAGACGAGAGGAGCCGAGGAGGTGGCAAGTGAGAACGCTAGCCATGAAACCCAACACCCCAGTTCTAGCTAGCTAGACCTTAGACCTCCAACTTTCCTCCTCGGACCGATGGAAATCCGTCATTCTCACGTCAGAGAACAAACTCGTCATTCTCCTCCATCCACTGGAGAGAATACGAACGCTACTGTCGACCCTCAGTGGATTGGCTCGATGGTCGACGTAGATGCTTCCATCATACCAGCCATGGGGTTGACAGAGAAAGCCTGCCCCCCCGCTTCCTTATCACCGGAAATCCCTTCACGATTTCTTCTTCCAGGAACACGCCGCCGGTTAAGCTTACAGATGGAGCTGTTAGAGTTGGCCTGGATGCAGGACGTTCTAACAGCTCTTAAATAAAATTATAAACTCAACTGTAACCTGAGGTGTCAGAGGCACCGGCAAAACAGGCAAAGAAGTGTTCTAGACGTCTGCATTCATTGTGGCTCCAAATAAAATACTCAACTTTAATTTGGCGGGTAATATGTAGATGTAGTGGCTTGCCGAGTTCGGCTACTTCAAACACTTGCCGGAGAATCCTTTCCGGCTACTTGAAGGGCCAAACAAACGAGGGCAGAGAGGAAGATTGATAAATCAAGAAAAATCAAAGATTCTAAGCAGAAGCAAATATCCGTCCAAGAAAAGAATCAAAGTGACGAAAAGAAAGAAGTTCATCGCTGATCTTCAGTTCTTAAATTCTTGAGACCTCACTAGAACATGCTGACTTTTAATAGCCATGCATGAGTTTGGCGACTGTTCCAGGAGCGGGGGTTTGCCTGCATCAAAGCACTCCGCCACTCCCTCTCTCTCGCTGAGTCCGCGTTTTGTGCACCCGTGGGTGCATGAAAAGCGTGAACCCTCAAATAGGAGGTGTGCACGTCACGTCACCAACTTCATACTCATGCTAACGTTAACGGGGTTCAAGCGTTAGCTACTTAATTGAATCCGGTTGACTTTACACAAAAGGACAAATAGAAATGAAAACCAATTATTTGGGATTTGGGATTTCATTTGATCGGCAGAAAGCCTTCTTGTCTTCTGCCTCCTATTCTTCTTCGAATCCTCACTTGTTCTTCTCTTGTCAAAGGTCCATTAATTGTTCCGAAGCCGGCGGTTATCAGTCATCAGAATGAAGGTCCACCATTGGAACAAGCACTTTCCCCAATGTATCATCTTCATCTAAGCCCTACCTTGTTACTAGATCACCGGCGACCAACACCAACCGACGTCTAGCGGCAAAGAATCAACCGGTGACCAACAGTGAGCTCTTCCTCTTCCTCCTCGTCTGGCGTTTCTTTTAATTTACTCTATTATTGCTCATGTGGAGTGTGGTTTTAAATAGTTGAATAAGACTACTCTATCCTCTGCTGTGACACTTGACAAACAAATAGAGATTCATTAAGCAAGAGAACAGGGAGACATTTGCAGTTTGCAGTTTATCTTTTTTTTTTTTTTTTAATTCCATCTCAAAGACTCACTCTTATCCAGGGAGCCATTTGCAAAGGCAACTATGCGGTTGTTTGTTCTGTTCCGCTGTACAAATAGTCATATACAACTACAATACCAAAGCATGATTCAATCAGTTTTCCAAATTTTCTACGTTATCCATATAACGTAGTTCTCTTTATTTATCAAATTATGGTCTATGGTAGATTATAAATCTTCTCTTGACTCGCCAAAATAAAAAAGAAAAATAGTGCAGTCAATATTGTAGTGTAGAACTTACTATTGAAATAAATATATTTAATATGACCATATTCTATAAAATTCTAAGCTTTTGTGATTTCTTGAATGAGGGATGGATATGAGTCATTCAATTCTGCAGCACACTTTACCAGGGATGCAAAATTCATGGTAAATAGAGGGAACATTTCATTCCAATGGATCCACAAATTGACCAACTTGAATTAGATAAGATACACTCTACAACCTAATTGGCTTAGTTTAAAGTGTTTGTATATGAATTTTCATATGTTTGCTATACTGCTATCATCTGTATTTGCCAATTGATCAGATTCTATAAAGGTCAACACAAGGTGCTATATATAATTAATGTTGTTCGTGGTTGTGGAGAATAGGCAATTCTAGGTGACAATGGGCCCCTAAGTGATGAGTTTGAGATGGAACCTTGCAAAGAAAAAAAAATCAAGTTATTAGTTAATTCTATAGTTTAATGTACAAAACATGTATATAAATTGAAAAAATAGCAAGATCTTTATCAAATAACACTGACAATGAGCCCCTAAGTGATAAGTTTGAGATGGAATCTTGCAAAGAAAAAAAAAATAAAGTTATATGTTAATTCTATAGTTTAATGTACAAAACATGTATATAAATTGAAAAAATAGCAAAGATCTTTATCAAATAACACTGAATTTTATCTCAAAGCATGGGAAATAATCAAATCTGCAAGAAGATAATTATAAATTTTTGCTATTAGAGCATCTTCTATGGATATTTGTTGACTAATATATTTCATCCATGTAAGCAAACAAACCAAATGGGAAGTGGTATGATTATTTTGCGTGCACAGATCCAGAAGGCCTTGAGGATTGATGGAGGATGATTTGATCAGACTTATGAAGTGATGACACGTGGACCTGATTCGGCACAGGCAACGGCTCAGCGTCATAGCCTGATCACGGCTAAGTAACGAGCCCATAAAGTAGCTCGCTATATCATAGTTCGCTGTAGGAAGAGCTCGCGTGCTAGGGAAATCAGCTCGCTCCAGCCCCCAAGCGGATAAGTCACCCCAGAGAACAACCTTAGTAAGGGTAACCCCGAAGTATTCCTAAGTTCGCTACAAAGTAGCTCGCGAATGAGCGGCACAGATGTTTCTCAAGAAACTTCTACCTGACAAACCGTACCGATCAGTCTGTGCCACGTCTCTTGACTGACGACGCAGTCCCTGTCCTTTCGACAGTCTCCACCCACGTCTCTTAGCAGGCGGAAGCGTGCCTGCCCCTTTAAGACGTGTCACTCATCCGAGCAAGAGGTACATTGCAACGATCACCTGTGCAGCCCTGGCAGGTAACGACTGCGGTAGGGGCCCAGTGGCGGTTACACCCGATTTGATAGTAACTCCCCTATAAAATCCCCTGAGGCAAAGGAGAAGGGATTACTCTCAGACTTTTGAATACTTCCGCACTCTCATATTCTCAACCTGAGTCTTTACTTGCTCGCGAGCTAATCTCTCGAGCATAGTGATAAAACGCGACCTACACTCTTAGCTTTCGCACTCTTCTTTCTCCTTCCCCAACGTTCTGACTTAAGCTTTGGAGTATTCCCATCGGGTAAATCCCCGGGAATCCTTCTTTTCCATCTTCTTAGGTGTCGTCTGTTGTCAACAAGGAGCCAGTCAGCAGCCAACTAGGAGTGCCCAGATCGTGCCGCATCATTTGGCGCCGTCTGTGGGAAACGCTTCTAAAAGCCTCCCTCCAAGCTTTACAACACTTTTCTTCCAAAAACTTAGCATTCTTCATGGCTTCTTCCAGCAATGCCGGACGTGGCAACAACCATAACGCTAGTGGGGAGCAGCCCCAGCTTCCTACTGTCTGCATCAGACAGTTTACCGTCCCCCTCACTATGGACGGAGTCCCCAGTCTTAATGTGCCTCTTACAGTGGCACCCGCCATTGCTCCGCTCCCTTCTACTGTAGGAGCAACCTTTATTGAACCCTCGGTTGTGCCCCCAGTGGCCAACCCGAACCAACTGGAGGACTTAGTGCAATGCATGCGGGCCATGCAGGCTCAAATGCAATAGTTCCAATAGTTTCAACTCTACCAACAACAGGTGTTGCACCAGGTTTCCCAGTACCAGTACCAACAGCAGTTTCCCTCTCTGCCTCAGGCCCAGATGTCGCTTCCACCTCGGCACCCACCCGCGAAGCAGGTCAAACCAACCCGCCAGAGTGAGCGGCCTCGTCGGGAAGAAGCCTCCCAGGTCCAAGATCCAGCCAAGAGTCGCGCCTCTTCCCGTGGCAAGAAAGAGAGGCCGGTTGCCATCTCGGCACCCGCCTCGCAGCCTGTGGGCGGGTCAGGGGCCTCTCACCCAACCTTCGCAATTCGAGCTCCCGTTAGCAAACAATCCGTTCGAGGTCCTAGCAGCRGGCTATAGACAGGGCCCTTCGGTCCAGAGTCGTCACCAGCAGTCCGAGCCCATCAAGCTCAGCAACACCGAGGCCTCGAGCACCAACGCTAAACCAGCAAAGCAGTAGCGAAGGCGCTGGTGAGCTTGCCGAACTGCTTCTAGGGCCTCTCCCGAGCTCAAAGGAAAGGAGGAGGTGTGCTTGGCTGAAGTGAAAGCCACCCCCTCCTCTCGGTTTCTTCCCCGTTATCTCCAGAACTCCTTGTTGTCCCCATGCCAAAGGATTTCAAGCTCCCTCCTCTAGACAAGTATGATGGGTCTTTCGATCCAAATGACCATGTGGACGCCTTCCAGTCCCAGATGCACCTGGCACGGGCCAGCGAGTCCTGCATGTGCGTGGCCTTTTCCACTACCTTCAAAGGAGTGGCCCGCACCTGGTACCGGAACCTCGCACCAGGATCAATAAGAAGTTGGGCGTAGTTCGTGCAGGTCTTCACCTCCCACTTCGTCACCAGCAAGAGATGCCCGCGAACTCAGGAAAGCCTCCTTGGCATAGTTCAAAAGGAAGGTCGCCCCGACCTTCAATGACGCTTGCTTGCAGATACCCGACCTGGATCCCGCAGTACGTCTCACAGCAGCCAAGTAAGGTATCACCCATAAAGAGTTTAAGTGGCACATAGTTGTAAACCAACCCAAAACCGTAACCGAGTTCCTTAAGCTCGTGGGTAGGTTTATTGGGATTGAGGAGGAGATCAACTAGAAGGGCGAACAGGCCCCAGAAAAA